GAGTAGTGACTGGGATCTTAAAAGCTTGCAAGCAGCCATTTAGATGCAACAATGGGTCTCTCCTCATCCAGATCAAAGAAGAATGAAGAAAACCAAAGATTCATGGAAACAATTAGTCCAACCAACTGGTACACCATGAGATCCTCAGCTTATATGACAATGAGACCAAAAAAACTAGATGGTGCCTGGCTACTACTGTCAACTACTAGCAGGGGGCTCTATCTAGGAGATCCTGGATAGAGTGGGAGAACAATGTGGAACGAAACTCAAAATCATTTAAAAAAAGTGGGGACCAAGTTTGCTGGTCTGATAGAACCTGGTTGAACCATTGAGACTATGGCCCCTCGCTGCCCTTCAGGTCCGGTATTAAACCCATACCTGTGGTTTCCAGCCAAACAAAAGGCAGTGATATGAGGTGAACATTTACATTAGGTAGATACTCCTGGGAGAGAACAATCATGGGAGAATAGAAGGGCTGTGTATGCACAAGGAGACAGCTCAGGGGGCAGGAGTGCGTGGAAGGGAAGGACACAGCGAAGAGGTAACTATGGGGAGGAAGTGGGAGGGAAGTTGTTGCATTGTGGTGAATTGTAATCAACCTCATGAGATAAAGTGTATGTGAACTGCTGTATGGAAAGTGAATTTGCTCTGTAAACTTTCACCCAAATCACAATAAAAGAGAGAGAGAGAGAGAGAGAGAGAGAGAGAGAGAGAGAGATCAGAGTAGTAGAGAGTCATGGAAGGGCTGAAGCAGCTACTGTTCCTGTGTGCCCTGGGGGAGTGTATTGTTGGGTGCTTAGGATTCCTGGTACCCAGGTCCCTTGCTCAGGTGCTGAGCTGGGCTCTGGATGGGTGGGGTTTTGCAGCTACACTGGAGTTGCCTCTGCTGTCAAGGGCAAGAAATCAGGTAAGTCTCTATCTGTGCTTGTGGCCAGTCATTCAAAAACAGGTCTGCCAGGTTTTCTGCCAAGGATATTTCACCAAATCCCTAACTCCATACAGCTGAGCTTCTTAGTGGTGAAGGTATCTAGGAGAGGGGACTGCCTGGCCTCCCAACTCCCCCAGTTCAGTGACTCTTGCTTCACTAAGAAGTGCGTCTCACTGTCTACCTTTACTTTTTCCTACTGGTTTCTAGATGCCCTATCCCAGATGAGATTGTCCCATCAGATACCAAAGCTGCTGTGGCCAGTCTACCAACCCTACCTGTCATCATCTCCTGACCCAAGATGGCACCAGAGCCTCTTTCTTTGGTGTTGATCATGGCTCTGGACCACACCTTGAGAGGCTAGGTAGTGGGAGTCCCGAGGGCAGAAAGGATGAGGTCAGCCTCCCTCTCCTCCTCTCTGTACAGTGACCACAGTGGCTGGGCCGATGGCCCGGGATGTGGAGAGCCTGGCACTGTGCCTGAGAGTGCTACTGAGTGAGGACATGCACCAGCTGGACCCCACTGTGCCCCACATGCCCTTCAGGGAGGAGGTTATCTGGGTCAGGGAATGCAGCTGGTGGGGGTAGGCTCTTCTCCATCCCCTGCTGTTCCCCATTAGCCTGTCTGTGCTCTGACCATCCTCTGTGAAGACCTCCTTTCCCACCCCAATATGCATGTGCCTTTGTTGTTAGGTGCCATCAGGTTGGCTCTGACTCATAGCAACCCCATGGACAACAGAACAAAACACTGACCAGACTTGTGCCACAATCTCTGTTTGCCTGAGCCCATCACTGCAGCCACAGTGTCAATCCATCTCATTGAGGGCCTTCCCCTTTTTTGCTGACCCTCTACTTTACCAAGCATGATATCCTTCTCCAGGGAATGATCCCTTCTGACAAAATGACCAAAGCAGGTGAGACGAAGTCTGGCCATGCTTACAAGCAGCATTCTAGCTGCACTTCTTCCAGGACAGATTTTTTTCATTCTTCTAGCAGTCCATGGTACTCTGCCAACACCACAACTCAAAAGCATCAACTTTTCTTCAATCTTCCTTATTCATTGTCTAGCTCTCACATGCCTATGAGGCTATTGAAAATACCCTGGGTTGGGTTCAGCACTTTAAAGAAGTCTTTTGAAGCAGATTTGCCCAGTGCAATATGACCTCTGATTTCTTGACTGATAACTCCATTGGTGTTGATTGTGGAACCAAGTAATATGAAATCTTTGACAACTTCAATCTTTTCTCCATTTATCATGATGCTGCTTTTTAGTTGAAAGTGAAGATATTCATTTTCTTTATGTTGAGATGTAATCCATGCTGCAGACTGCAGTCTTTAATCTTCATCAGTAAATGCTTCAAGTTATCTTCACTTTCAGCAAGAAATGTTGTATTGTCTATATATCACAGGTTGTTAATGAGTCTTCCTCCAATCCTGATGCTACATTCTTTTTCATGTAGTCCAGCTTCTTGGATTATTAGCTCAGCATACAGATTTAATAAGTATGGTGAAAGGATACAGCTCTGATGCACTACCTTCTTGATTTTAAACTATATAGTATCCCCTTGTTCTGTTCAAATGACACCCTCCTGGTCTGTGTACAGGCTCCTTATTAGCACAATTAAGTGCTCTGGAATTCCCATTCTTCTCAATGTTATCCATAATTTGTTACGATCCACACAGCCAAATACTTATGCAAGTCAATGAAGCACAAGTAAACATCTTTCTGGTATTCTTGCTTTCAGGCAAGATCCATCTGACACCAGCAATGATATTCCTCATCCCATATCCTCTTCTGAATCCAGCTTGCCTTTCTGGACGTTCCCTGTCAATAGACTGCTGCAACCATTTTTGAATTATCTTCAGCAAGATTTTACTTGTGTGTAATATTAATGATATTGTTCAATTATTTCTACATTCTGTTAGATTACCTTTCTTTGGAATGAATACAAGTATGGATCTCTTTCCAGTCAGTTGGCTAGGTAGCTATCTTCCAGATATCTTGGCATAGATGAGTAAGTGCCTCCAGTGTGGAATCTGTTTGTTGAAACATCTCAGTGGGTATTCCATCAATTCCTGGAGCCTTGTTTTTTGCCAATTCCTTCAGGGCACCTTTGACCATTGGTTCTTGATCACATGCCACCTCTTGAAATGAATGAACATGGGCCAATTCTTTTTGGTAGAGTGACTCTGTGCATTCCTCCATCTTCTTTTTTGATGTTTCCTGCATCATTCAATATTTTGCCCATAGAATCTTTCAATATTGCAACTCGAGGCTTGAATTTTTTCTTCAGTTCTTTCAGTTTGAGAAATGCTGAGCATGTTCTTCCCTTTTGGTTTTCTAACTCCAGATCTTTGCACATTTCATTGTAATAATTGGCTCTGTCTTCTCGAGTTGCTCTTTGAAATCTTCTGTTCAGCTCTTTTATCTTGTCATTTCTTCCATTTGCTTTAGCTACTCTCTCTTCAAGAGCAAGTTTCAGAGTTTCTTCTGACATCTGTTTTCGTCTTTTCTTCCTTTCCTGCCTTTCTAATGACCTTTTGCTCTCTTCATGTATTGTGTTTTTATGTCATCCCATAATTCCTTTGGTTTTCACTCATTGGTGTACAATCCATCAAATCTATTCTTTAGATGGTCTCTAAATTCAGGCAGAATGTAATCAAGCTCATATTTTGGCTCTTGTGGACTTGTTTTAATTGTCTTCAGCTTCAATTTGAACTTGCATATGAGCAGTTCGTGGTCTGTTCCACAGTCAGCTCCTGGCCCTGTTTTGGCTGAAACAGCTTCTCCATTGCTGTTTCCACAGATGTAGTCAATCTGATTCTTGTGTATTCCATCTGGTGAATCCATGTGTATAGCTGCCATTTATATTGTTGAAAAAGGTATTTGCAATGAGTAAGTCATTGGCCTTGCAAAATTTTATCATGTGATCTCTGGCATTATTTCTATCACCAAGGCCATATTTTCTAGCTACTGGTGATTCTTCTTTGTTTCCAACTTTTTCATTCCAATCACCAGTAATAATCAACACATCTTGATTGCATGTTTGGTCCATTTCAGACTGCAAAAGTTGGTAAAAATCTTCAATTTCCCCATCTTTGGCTTTAGTGGTTGGTGAATAAATTTGAGTAATAGTAGTATTAACTGGTCTTCCTTATAGGCATGGGGATATTATCCTATCACTGACAGCATTGTACTTCAGGGTAGATCTTGAAACATCTTTTGTGATGATGAAAGCCACATGCCATTCCTCTTCAATTTGTCATTCCCAACATAGTAGATCATATGGTTGTCTGATTCAAAATGGCCAAAACCAGTCCATTTCAGCTCACTAATGCCTAGGATCTTTATGTGGTCCATTTCATTTTTGACAACTTCCAATTTTTCTAGATTCCTACTTCATAATTCCATGTTCTGATTATTAATGGCTATTTGCAGCTGTTTTTTCCTATTTTGAGTCATGCCACATCAGCATATGGAGGTCCCGAAAGCTTTACTCCATCCTCATCATTAAGGTCAACTCTACTTTGAGGAGGGAGCTCTTCCCCAATCATATTTTGAGTGTTTTCCAACCTGAGGGACTCATCTTCCGGCACTGTATCATGTTTAGCTCCCACATTTGCAGGATGCCAACTGCTTTGCCCCTGGACTGTGTCATCTGGAACCATAGCTGTAATTTTCCCCAAAGAAGGACTCCAAAATCACATATTCAACATACGGTAGGAGAATACTCAGCCAGTGTGGCTCAGAGAATGTAGTAACTAGTTAAGCTGGCTTTCAATCCTCTGGATGACCCCGGGTAAGTCACATCCCTTCTCTAGGTCTCAGTCAATAAAGAGGTCATTAGTACAATAAAAAGGAAGATCACTCCATGCCCTTATATTTATATTTGTTGAATGAGTGAATGAATGAAAACTAGAGCTGGAAGAGAATGGAGTGATCTTCCAGTCCAGCCTCTTTATTGTACTGATGACCTCTTTGATGAGACCTAGAGAAGAGATCTGACTAGGCACTTTGTATTTCATCCTAACACTCCCTCTACAGAATGAGCATTGTTCCTCCCTTTTACAGATGGGGAAACTGAGAGGAAATGAAATGACTTTTCTATAATCATATAGCTAATAACTTTTAACCTAGCCCTATATGGCTCCGGAGCCATAGGGAAGTGTCTCTGCCTATCATTCAGGCAATATTTGTTCATCTGTTCCCTACACCCATCCTAGTATATCAACCTGTGATCATTGCCAGTCGTCCATTATTTGCCTCTGTTGATCTCTTCAGCCTCATCCTCTCCTGACAGTTTTTCAGCTTAAAGATATTTATGTCTATTCATCTACTCACTCACTTGCTCACCCAGTCACCTCCACCCATCCATTCATCTACCAACCTGTATATTCAACTCTTTGCCTACCCACCACCTATTCACTGTCTCATCCATCCATCCACCCACCTATTCACAACTCTACCTAACATTTATCGACCTATTCATTCCATCAACCAAGCACTCATTCCCCCATCCATCCATCATATTTCCAGGAGTTTCCCTCAGAGGACCTAGAGCCTGAAGAGTATATAGGGAGACCCCAAAAGACTCTTCAGGAACCCCTATGGATTCCTACCTGGGTGAGGAAAGCTGTGGCCCAAGGCTTTGGCCTACAAGTCTGGCCCCTAGAGAGAATGAAACTACCCTACCCCCAACCCAGTCTCTTCTCAGAGCCCCACTCAGCCCATTGTGCCCCCAGGTGTACTCCAGTACCTGGCCCCTACGAATTGGCTACTATGAGACAGATGGTTTCACTCAGCCATCCCCCAGCATGGCCAGGGCTGTGCAGCTCACCTCCAAGCTGCTCCAGGATGCAGGACATGAGGTAGGCTCACCTACCCCTGGGGGTCAGGGAAAAGAGGTAAGACCAGTGAGCCCTCTTGGAAAGAAAGGAGGATATGTCTGAGTTTGTCCTGCTGAAATAATTGTGCTCCCCCTAAGCTACCTGGAGAAGACTGAGCAGGGTGGAGGTGGAGAGAGGGTGATGCCACTCTGTGAGGAAGAAATTATGATTTTGTGCCTTCCCTCTTCAGTGCTAAGGACTTGGGGACTTATTCCTATAATTCCCTTAACCTGGGTCTCTGCTGCTTTCATCAATAACTGGAGGGATCTCTATCCTCAAAACTATCCCTGACTCCCTTAACCCCAATGCTTTTGCCAATCCCACCCCTCCTTGGAGAATCACTGGCTAGCCATAGACCTACTATATGATCTTGGACCCGTCTCTTAACCTCCCTGAGCCTCAGTTTTCTACCCCGTGGAGTGATCACAGGTAAAATGCACTCATATATGTCAAGCATATGGCACAACGTCTGTATCAAAATAAAGCATGTAGAGTATGAGGACAGGTCTAATTCTGTCACATCTGCTGCATATGGGTTAAGGAGTAGGCATGACAGGAGAGGGGCCGGCCAGCAGGCCTCCCACATCATGCTGAAGTGAATGAGAGTGAAGAGGGGTCATAGAGCAAACCTTTTTTAAATCCTGGGGGATGCAGAGGAGAACAGGGTGAGGGGAGGAGCTCCTAGCCCTGACTCAGCTTCTGTCTCCCCAGGTCATCCCCTTCTCCATTCCCCGTATAGAGTATGCCATACAGCACCTAGTAAATGGGGGTTTGTATGCTGATGGAGGGGCCACTCTTCTGCAGAAGTTGTACGTTTGTCATCTGCCGGGACTCAGGGGAGGGGCAGGGTGGATATAGGATGGGAGAGGGAACTGAGCCCTAGGTGGGGTCCTGGGAGACTGAGCTGGGGTACCTCTGGCTAATTGTGTGACTTTAAGCATGAGTCTCCCACTCGAGTCCTGTCTTCAGGATGTGTGTGTTCCAGGAATGGGGGTAGCATGTTTCCTTTGTCTGATCTTCATCTGTGGTTTGCCTATGGATGAATGGGGGAATGGGCCAGTGGCTGAAAGGCTATAACTGACCATACTTGTGACTGTGGTTTTTAGGAAGGGAGACATTGTGGATCCCTGCATAAAAGGGATGGTCAGTATACTCTGCCTGCCAGACCTATTGAAGTACTTCTTGTCCCAGATCCTGAAGTACACAGTGAGTGTGGGCCAAGAGATGAGGAGGGGCTCGAGAGGGGAAAGGACCCAGAGTGGGTAAGGGGCCCATACAGGAAGAAGTCCAGAGAGAAGGGGTTCAGAAAGAGAAGAGGGGCTCACAAAGGGGGCATAGCCATCAAAGAAGGGATGAAGCTCAGTTAAGGGATAGATAGGGTCCAGAGACGGGGACTTAAAAAGGGGAGAGAAACTAAAATTCAAATGGGGGGGGTGGGGGATACAAGAGAGGAGAGGGAATCTAGAGAGGGTGGGGGCTTTAGACAGGAGGCTCAGAGAGGCGGGAGACATCCCAGAGAGAAGAGGTGGGTTTCAGAAAGAAGGAGGGGAATTCACAAGAGGATGGAGGCTCAGAGTGGGGCCCAGGGCTTGCTGAAGTCATGGGGGCTGTTGAGGAGCAGAGGGCTTCATGTTGGTGTGCCTGAGCAGTGTTTCTTTCCCTGGACATCCGGCTATTTCCTTGTGGTTTCTGAAGTTGGTTTTCCCCTCTCATTCTACCCCTAGGATCCTCGAGTTAGCCAGAATTTGGAAGAGCTTCGTGGAGTGGGGTGAGTGGCCACACCTTCTCAGGCTCAACCTCTACCCACAAGGGCTTTCCATGGGATAGTGAGAATTGAGTGAGGGGCATTCCATGGGCTGTGGCTAGAGTTGATGTCCATTGAGGGGTGCTATTTAGACTTTGAAGGAGCTCTGGTGGCATGGTGCCTAAGGCAATTGACTGCTAACCAGAAAGTTGGCAGTTCAAACCCATCAGCCACTCTGTGGAAGGAAGACCAGGCAATCTACTGCTGTAAAGATTTACCACCTCGAAAACCCCAAGGGGTCACTATGAGTTAGAACAGACTCTATGGCAGTGAGTTTGGTTTTTTGATTTATTTAGACTTTGAGATCTAATTAAAATTTTAGGATCATGCCTGACACTAGGACTAAATTTAGACTTTTGATTAGGGTTGGGAATGGGGCTGGTTTGGGGCTTGGGTTTGTTTGATTTGGAGTCAAAACATGAGAACTGGCTAGAATTCAGGTTAGGTGAAGCAAAGGTTGAGGTTAAAGCTGAGGTTAGGCTTTGGCTGGGGTTGAGTTTAAGATTAAGGTTGGGATTAGAGTTGGTTTGCATTGGGATTGGGGATGAAGACAGATTTGGATTTAGGATTGGGATTAAGATTGGAATTGGGGTGGGATTAGAGTTAGAGATAGAGATGGGGTTGAGTTTGCTGGTAGGCTTGTCCTGGTAGGGGTTGGAGTTGAGATGCTGGTTTGAGTTGGGAATGAGGTGGCCTGAGGGCTGTCCTGGGGCCTCATAGTTTAGGGGAAGAGACTGTGGCTTTTGGGAGAGCCTGAGAGTTTCTGTGACTGGTTGCAGGGGGTATTTGACCAGAGGATATGTACTCCTGGGAACCTTGGGTAGGATGTCCTGGCCATGGGAACAGGAGGCAAGGTCATTCTCAGCCTACTAGCAGCCTCTTGAGCGCTGTCTCACCATTTGTATAAAAGCAGGCCCTCCTATGCTGACCTTTGGACTTCTAAGATTCTTCCTCACTCCTTTAGGACACCCAAGAAACTGTGGGAGCAGCACACAGCAGTGGAGGTAACTGCCTGGGAAGGCCTCGAGGGGCTGCTGGAGCAGGGACAGTAGAGACCCTACGATGAAGAGTGGCCAGATAGGGGGTAGAATAATGAATGCCATGGCCTTCAGGAGAGGGCTAGCTGGACCTGGATGGGGAGGCATCCCCCTAGGCCCAGAATACATTGTCTCCAAATCATTGTAATGAATCCAATCAAGTCCTGAGACTTGTCTTCCCATCCCATCACTTCAGGTCCTAGAAAGATTACCCAAATTCTTCAGATTTGTCAGCCCAAATATTATAGTCTGGGAATTATTTCTGGTGCCTAACCCTGCTCTGATAGGCAGCACCTGAATTTGTTTGGTAAATAGTGACCCCTAGTGGTCCTTGCCCTCTCTCCACTGTCCCTGTAGGAGTATCAGCAAGAGTTCATAGCCAAGTGGAGATCCCTAGACATAGACGTGCTGTTGGCGCCAGCTCTGGACCCTACCTTCTATATAGGCTATCCTGACAAAGCAACAGGTGAGAGCACACTGGATTCTGGTGGAGTAGAGACTGGGGAGTCTAGGACTCCTGGGTCTTGTCACAGCCTCTGTGGCCCTGACTGTCTCCATTCACTTTTATTTTCATTATTTTAAAAAGATAAAATTCATATAATATCAAAATTATCTTAAAGTGCACAACTCAGTGGGTTTTAGTATATTCACAATGTCGTGCAACCATCACCACTAATTCCAGAACATTTCTGTCCCTCCAAAAAGAAACTCCATACCTCTTAGCGATCACTCTCAATATCATTTACTTTTAAAATAAACTTTGTTGAAGTCTAATTTGCACACATATAATTGTCCAGTTTTAAGTGTATAGACTGATGAGTTTTGACAAGTGCATATAGTTGCATGATCCCATCACAACAAAAAATAGACTCTTTCTTTCATGTCTCTTTGTGATTCACCCCACCCCAGCTTGCTCTTGGCAATCACTGGTCTGATTCCTATCACTGTGGTTTTGCCTTTTCCAGAATTTCATATATGTGGAGTGGTAAGGTATGAGGCTTTTGTCTCTGTCTTCTTTCTAGCACATTTATTTACCCTCCACTCTTTTTAAGTTGTGGTAAATATATAGGTCACAAAACATTTGCCATTTCACATGTATACTTCAGTAGCATTAATTATGTTCATCATGTTGTTGAAACATCACCCTTAACCGTTCCTGAATTTTTCTATCAATCTTAACAGAAGCTTAAACCAAACAAAACCCACTACTGTCAAGTCAATTCTGACTTATAGTGACCCTATAGGACAGAGTAAAACTGCTCCATATGGTTTCCAGGGCTGCAAATCTTTGTAGAAGCAAACTGTCACATCTTTCTCCCATGGAACAGCTGGTGGGTTTGAATGGCCAACCTTTCAGTTAACAGCTGAGCGTGTAACCTCTGTGGCACCAGGGCTCCTTTAACAGAAGCTTAGTGTCCCCTAAAAGCATGACATCTTCCTTTTCCCCTCCCTCCCACCTGCCCCTTGTAACCACTTATACTTTGATCTCTATACAGTTGCCTATTATAGATACTTCATACAAGTAAAATCACGTACATTTGTTCTTTTGTGACTGACTTATTTTACTCAACATACTGTTTTCAAGGTTCATCCTTGTAGCATGTATAAGGAGGGCTTCATTTAATTGTAGTAAAATATACACAACACAAACTTTGCCATTTTAACCATTTCCAAGTGTACAATCCAGTGACATGTCACACAATGTTGTGCAGCCATCAACACTATTTGTTTCCATGATTTTTTCATCACTCTAAACAGAAATTCTATACCAGTTAAGCAATCCCCACTCTCCCCTTCTCCAGCCCATAAGAACTTCTTTCTGTCTTCATGCATTTGTCTGTTCTACATATTGCATATAAATGGGATCATATAATATCTGCTCTTTTGCGTCTGGCATGTTTGCAAGATTCTTCCATGTTATAACATGTATTAGAACTTCATTCTTTTTAATGGCTCCATTCACTCTTGTATTTTATTTTATTTTTTATTGTGATTTGGGTGAAAAGTTGACAGAACAAATTCATTTTCCTTACAGCATGTCACATATACTTTGCCTCATGACATTGACTGCAATTTCCCAAAATTCAACAGCTCTCTTCCCACTTCCTCCCCATAGTTACCTCTTCCCTGTGTCCTTCCCTCCAATGCACTCCTGCCCCCAAGCTGTCTCCCTGTTCATACACAGCCCTTCTATTCTCCCATGATTGATTTCGCCAAGGAGTGTATCTACCTAGTGTGAATGTTCAGCTCATATGCCTGTCTTTTGTTTGGCTGGAAGCCACAGGAGTGGGTTCAATTCCAGACCTGAAGGGCAGCGAGGGGCCATAGTCTCAGGAGTTCCACTAGACTCTATCAGACCAGCAAACCTGGTCCCTCTTTTTTTTTTTTTTTTTTAATGATTTTGAGTTTTGTTCCACATTGTTCTCCCACTCTATCCAGAATCTTCTACATAGATCCCCCTCCGAGTGGTTGACAGTGGTAGCCGGGCACCATCTAGTTCTTCTGGTCTCATAGTCGTATAGGCTGAGGATTGCATGATGTACCAGTCCCTTGGGCTAATTGTTTCCATGCATCTTTGGTTTTCTCATGGCTCCATTCACTCTTAACATGCTCTCTGCTGCCCTCATTTCCAAGGTGCCTTCAGTTCAGCCAACCTGTAATGCAGGCCTGAGTACAGGGCCAGTATGAGTTGTTTCTGGGTCCCATGGCCAGCACAGATGCTGATCTCAGAGAGGATGCAGAATGAAAACCAGCTCCAACCCTAACCCTAAACTCCTCTCTGCTGACCTTAAGAACATGTCCCCCCTGAGTCCTCCCTCAGTGGCTGGCCAAAGGCATGTCCCACACCCTGGCTCTGCTCTGATGTCCTCTGTTGGGATTACCACCATGTCTTTGACACTCGCTTCCTGCACACAGATGGCTGAATGGAAGAGCTGTCTTTTTAACCCAGGGTTGCACTGCACACAACCACCACACACTTCCCACCTTGTAGTCCAGTGTACTGAAGGGTGGGGCTGAATCCTCTGCTACCCACTAGCCATGTAGCTTCGGAAAAGTGATCTAACCTATCTGAGTCTCAGTTTCCCCATTTGTGCACTGGGAATAGTAAGCCCTACCACACAGGGTTGGAGAGGATTCAAGGAATTAGCAGCAATGCAAAGAGCCCAGCACAGTGCCTGGCACTAAGTAAGGATTCAACAATGCCTATCCACTCCTTCTCTTCACCTTTGGGAAAACATGAGGCAGGTAGGCAATGTGCTTGATAAGTAGGAGGTAGTTGTCAGTCTCCTCGCAATGAACTGGTTATTCCAAACCCAGAGGCCTGCAGCTCCAAGAAAGACAGGTAAGGGGTTCTCACACAATTCTTCTTCAATCCGAATCTTCTCCTAGCCACAGATTTTTGTGTTTACTTGGTTCTTCCCTGCAGTGAGCTCCTCCTACCTGGGCCTGTATAACCTCCTGAACTTCCCCGCGGGTGTGGTGCCTGTCACCACTGTGACGTCCCAGGATGAAGAGGCACTGGAACATTACAAGGGATATTACGGAGATAATTTTGACAAAAATTTCCGGAAGGTCAGTTACCTTCTCCATTCTCCTTCCTCAGGGGCACACAGCAGAATTAATTGTTGCTTCAAGCCTAGTTGGAGCAGATTGGGATCAAACCCACTGCCATCCAATTGATTCCGACTTATTCCTAGTATTTAACCTTTATCACTTCTGCTAGAGTTTCACCCCATCCCTGAGGACACACCACTGAATCTTTAAATCAGTCCCTGTCCTTGTCAGAGGACCGTTCTTTGCAAAACCAATGACATTTCCTAGAGCAGAAAGTGAAAAGATCCCTGGTTAGGAGTTTACTGGGAGACTGGACAGGACACTGCCCCTATATAGGCCTCCGTTTCTTTGGCAGGAAAATGGGAATAATTGCAGGGTTGTGGTAAAGGTTTAATCAGAAACAGAGGGTGAAGCAGTTAGAACAAGGCCTCGTGTGTGGAAAGTGTTCAATAATTACTACTACATTGAAACCTGTGAGAGCAAGACCTCGACAGGACTGCCTTGCTTTTCTGGGTCTCATAAGTTTTCTGCCTCTGACAGGGTGCAGACTTACCACTTTTCTATCACTCCTTTCCGTAGAAAATATTTGAGTTTTCCTTCTCTGACAGGTTTCTGCCTTACAGAGTTTCCAGTGTTCACAGATTTCACCATATTACTATTTCAGAAAGGGATTCATGAAAGGAAATATCACCCTGGACCTATTTAATTGCAGTCTAAAATAACAACTCTGATTTTGGTGAGGAGGATGGAGGAGGAGAGCCTGACTCTGAGAAGTATGCATGTCTGAGTCAGACATTAAAACATATCGTTTCTGGAAATTGATTTTAGTTCTAGAGTTACCCAGTGGAACTGCTGACCTGAATTCTGAGAAAATAATAATGATATTATCTAACTCTGGTGGCATAGTGCCTAAAGCATTTTACTGCTAACCAGAAGGCTGGCAGTTCAAACCCACCA